TGCCTCCTCCAAAATCTACTTTTTTATCTAGTGTGTGTGTTTTTTTTTTTCTATTGTTATGTTACATGTGCAAAATAATAAAATAAATAAGTAAATAAATAAATAAATAATAAAAATAATAAAAATAAGTTTAAGTCTGAGTCCATTACTGCTGCTGCAATAAATAGATTTCTCAAGTAGGACTAAAAGTTTGCTTCTCAGAAAATGACAATTTATTTACAGAGAACAGATCACTTCTATTTTAAACCCACTCTTCTTCCTTTCTAACACATCCTCTTTGGCTTTCGCAGTGCGCCACAATGCTGCCTTCGACGCTCCACACCACAGAGGCCCCGGCGTCCACCCCCCTGCCCGCCAACGCCTCCTCCTTCCTGGACTCGGAGTTCCGGTACGCCCTCTTCCCTCCCGTCTACGGCCTCATCTTCATCCTGGGCCTCTTCGCCAACATCTACGTCCTCTTCGTCATCCGCTGGCTCCGCGAGGCTCGGGCCATGGGCGAGATCCGCATCTACATGACCAACCTCACCGTCGCCGACCTGCTGTTCGTGAGCGCGCTGCCGTTTTGGGTGGATTACTACAGTCGTCGCGGCGATTGGATTTATTCCGACTTCATGTGCCGTCTAACTGGAACGTTTTTTTTCATCAACACCTACTCTTCCATTCTTTTCTTGGGAGCTATCAGCGTCAACCGGTACTGGGCAGTCGCGCGACCGCTTGACGCCGCATCTTCAGATCGTAGATGCCGCGGGATCGTGATTTGCGTCGTTATTTGGTTAGCGATAATTGGCATGTCCATTCCATATCTGCTGTCACCCGGAACCAACGTCCACTCCGACGGGAAGACGCGCTGTTTCGAAGGCTACCAGGACAGCAGGGATACGCAAAAACAAATCGTCGCCGCTACGCATTTCGGCATCATCGGGATATTCTTCGTCATTTTCATCCTCGTGACCGTCTGCAATCTCCTCATCATGCAAAACCTCCTCACGCAAGCCCCGCCCCAAACCGAGATACGATCCAGCACCATGCTGTCGAGGAAGTCCACGAGAACTTTGTCCAACGCGAAACGTCCGAGAGGCGTGAAGAGGAGGGCGACGCAGATGTTACTCGCGGTCGTCGGCGTGTTCATTCTCTGCTTCCTGCCGCATCACGTGGTCCAGGGTCCATGGGTGCTGGCGGTGTTGCAGATTCAGGACGGATGGGGCCACGTGGATTGGTCGGCAAAGACGTTGCAGGATTTGAACGACGCGCATCAGGTGACGTTGGTGCTGATGGGGCTGAACTGCATCCTGGATCCGGTGGTGTACTATTTCGCCACAAGGAAATTCCGCAGGTTCATCATGCAGCATCTGAAGAAGTTTGTCAAAGGAGAAGGCTGCTCCAACACGACCACATCGCAGGTTTCCATGGACAGCAAACATGCGGTACAGCTTCACGAGGTCAACAGATGAACTGGACAATATTGACTCTTTGTAAATAAAAAAAAAAAAACACTGTTTTAAAATGTGAAAAAACCAAAACTTATCCATTTTAGATAATCAGACTGCTCACAGGCTCCTGAAAATGTGCTCTTTAAGTGCATTTTGAGTTTTCAGATGATCTTAAAACGTTTTTTTATGGGACAATTCCGTTTTTCAAGGGACGGTTGGCGACCCTGATCACAAGCTTCATTTGAGCAGAGCCGAACGCTGTGGGTGACGTGACACTCGCTTACTCGAATTACAAGTCTCTTTGTTTAAATTAAGAGTTATGGTGCAACAATAGCTAAAAAAAATACAGAGGAACTACATAGACCATGATCCTTTGCTCCATTTCAGTGCAGACGACAAGAAGAAATAACAGTTCTAACACTTTTAAGTCTTTGTTCTTTGGATTAAGTCTTGTCGCATTTTAAGAAGAAAAAGTTGCATATTAACAGTTTTGTTTGTAAGCCTCCACAAAATATCGCAATAAATATCGTATCATGAGATGTTTATCGTGAAAATATCGTACCGAGACATTTGGATATTGTTACGTCCCTAACCATAAGCCTTCCCACCATATCGCAATAAATATCGTACTGTGAGCGTCATACCGTGACGATATCGTATCGTGAGACTTCGATATCGTTACACCCCAAAACAGAGCAAACTCTCATTCCAGTAAAACAGAGTTAACACAGTTCTATTTAAAAGTTTGCTACAAGTCTTAACTAGTGCTTACTGCTGAGTCAGTGTCAGTGTTGTGAGCATTATGGTTTTGCATCATAGGACAAAAATGTTTTTAAAAAATTCAACGTTATTCTCAATGAGCAAGTATCCAGGCTGGTTCCACCTAATGCCTCCGCTCAATTTAATTTCTTTCCAGCGACTAGGTCAGGAATCAGAATGCACTAGACAGTTTGCAAGAACTCTAGAAGTTGTAGACCGCACACCGACCAATCAGGTGTGAGCTGTGAAGCCATGACGTCAAACTCAAGACTACGTTTATCTGAAACAAAATCCGCGTATCACCGTATCACTGAATCGGAAACGATCTGCGTCCAGACACGTTGTTTCTGTGTCCGCAATCAAAGTTTTCCCTATCCACACAGCTTTGAGCAGATTTGTTTACATTTTACAGAAATTAAACTTAAAACCACATGGCTAATTTGCATAAACAAGGTGCTCCAAAAAACATATCGGTATTGTGTCGCTGATGCGGTTCAGCTTCTGTCGGACTAAAGGACACGACTCAGTGGAATATGAGTGTTCTTTCTGTGACAGAGGGGTGTTCTGCTGATGGTGAGTCTGTTCTGTGTTTCTGTCATGTTGGAGATGGTTCATGTTAAACTTTTCAGAGATTATACGTCTGCAGATCAGACGCACAGACCGTATTTATGAATGGACATGTATTCTAGCCTCTTAGTGTTTTGGTGGTGAATTACTTCGTGGCGCATAGACCCACGTCAGCGTATCAACGTTTTCAGTGCTGAATCAGATCCGTACTCAAATTAATTCATAGGAGCTGGCGGCACCAGATCGTTTTGTCTCTGGAGCCGTTTTCAGTCGGATTAGTGTGAACGAACACTGCATCCACAACGAAAATGACTCAAAGACTGTACATTCTAGTGTGGACGGGGCTAACGATTCCGGAGATCGAGGATTTAAAGCGGGAACAAAGAGAAAGTTTGGTGAATTTTATCAAGGGGAAAGACGTTATTGCCCTTTTTCCTGTGGGATTTGTCGCATTACATACGTCACGACCAAAGAGCAGCGATTGGTTAAATAAAAAAGTACTCGCCTACCGTCGAGCGAACAAATCCTAATCCTAATCCTAGACTTTAATATGAGTCTTGTTTGAACACATCTGAATATAAAAATTTAGCTGGAACTTGGTGAGCTGATTTGTGCTGTTTAACAAGTCCCTCTAAAATAATATTAGCCAACAGTTTTTCATTTAGTCACTCTCGGCTTTTTGTTGAAAATCAAACTCTTAAAACGGGACCGTGAACGCTCGGACTGATCACACGCCCCTGAAAATGTGCTCTGTAAATGTGTTTTGAGTTTTCATCTGATCTTTAAAAGTTTTACATTTTTTCTGTGTTTTCTAAAGTGTGCACTGTGTCACCGCGGTAACTGCTGAACATTCTGCCACAGATATACATGCATTTCCCCCTGGTGTGGTGTCATTGCACAGTATCAGTCGCCTTTCATGCGTAGGCAAAACAAAAAAGCACATTTTGAGTTGTTGGTAGCTTTAAATGAAATGAATTTTGTATAGACGTTTATATTTATTATTATGATTTTTTTTTTTACATGTCAGATCTGTTTTTTTTATTCTCTTTATTGAGTTTTTCAGGTGTATATCGACAATACAATGTAACATAGTTTATTAAAAAAAGAAAAAAATGAAAAAAAGAGTGAACAACAAGAGGATAGATTGAATAAACTGTTTTCACCTCAGTAATTACACGTTGTATTTATTCCGTTTTAATGTTTTTGTATTTTTATGACACACTGTCTCATGTAGCGATGTACAAATATGACCTGTTTCATTAAAATGTTCCTCCAGTGCTTTTGTGCAAGACACTTCTCCATGTTTGTGTGTGAGCGTGAGCGAGTGAACGTGGGAGCCTCACTTTCACCAGGACGCCCCAGGGCAGCTGTGGCTACACCAGCTCACCTCCAGGAGCAGTGAGGGGATCATGAAGAAAGTTTAGAGATTTAACAACACGCAAAACTACGCGCAGATCTGCTCAGGTCGTGTACGAGTTTACGTCACGTACATCACCGCCGAGCGTCACCGCCGAGCCGCCTGGCATGCAAACACAATCGAATTCCACACACTTTTGCGTCGCCGTGTGCACGCAGATTTCCTCCTAAAAATGTTCGTCTAAACGCGGAATAAAAAGTGAAGACGCGCCGCCACTTTGCGTCTTCTGTTCAGACCGTCTTCGTATAAACGTAGCTTCAATCGGGGAAATAGGAGGGTTTCAGTCACGTGATCACGATGATGCGCGGATTTCAGGTGGAGGGCAGGAAGTGAAGATAAACACGGCTCTGGAGAACACAGATACGGAGAAGAGTTCTTATTGTAAGGATTTAGAGCCAGTAGCGAGGCAAAAGTACGAGCAGTTAGTCGACAAATATATTGGGCGTGACCCTGATCTTATTGAAAATGAGAGAATTTTCAACCGAAGTAAAAGATTTGCCGACAATCGAGGGAGAGGAGATCACGAACTATTTAACTCTTCAGACATCGTTCAACACCAGACAACAGATGAAGGCAAAGTACAAAGGTTTGGAGGTGTATCACTTTTTTTGTCAGTGGATGGGTCCTCAACCTTGGTGCAAAACGCCTAAATGATGATTATCGTTTGGTCTTCGCCGGGGTGAGTGTTTCTCTTATTTTATGTGTTTAGATGTTATGGGAAAAACTGCAGTGTATCGGCAGTGACCTCTATCTGATCTAGGGATGGGCATGATTAGTCGATTAATCGATAATTGATCATTAAGAATTTCATCGATTACGTTCATTTTAATCGACAAACTGAATGTAGGTTGCTGTGTGTAGTGTGACCAAACAGGTGTGTACATGTGTCTCTGCATCAGAAGGAGCAAGACACAAACAGTCGGTCAGTCTGCAACAAATGTGTATTTAACAATGACTTGTACAAGAAATTCCACGCTTTCCGTTCGGGACAAGTGTGAGTCCATGTGCACAGTGTATAAAGCAGCACATATGTTTCTGTGTCCAGTGGGAAAAAGTTTTTCCAGGTGAGAGTCGCGCAATGTGGATGACGAGGCCCCGCCTCCCTCCCCCCGTACGGTGTCCTGGTTTTGACAAACGCAAACATGGTCACAGTAACCTGTATTCCCCTGAGTCATGTCTTTTAATCCGACAGAAACTGAACCACATCAGCGACACAAGAGCTGGAGTTTTATCTTCGCTTAGTTTATGCAACTTTGCGATGCACCTTGTGATGTCACGCAGTGTTACTCTTACTTGAGCACAATTTTTGACTCCTCTTCCCACTTCTGACTAAAGGAGACTTGAGAACCACGTTTATTCTGACTTTGTGCTGAATTCACTGTGATGCACTTTGACCCGTTTTATCTTGATGTAGAAAACACACAGTTGCGTTTTGACTCATTCATGAATATTTGTAGTACTTCTGTTATCTCCCTCACTCCACCCAAAACTCTGCACTTGTGGGTTTTTTTTGAAAACGTCAAACAGATCATTCAGGGTTCAAACTGTCACAGATGCAAAACTGTGACCAGTGGTGGAATGTAGGAAAGTAAAAGTAATAAAGTACTTAAGTATAAATTTGAATTTCATTTTAGTACATTTTAAAACGGATACTTTTTACTTTACTTCACTGCATTTGAGAGCAGGTGTCTGTACTTTCTACTCCACTACATTTTTGAAAAGGACTGAAAAGTAAAAGTAGTTTGATGATAGTTTGAGACCTGCTGAAAAGGCGGAGGATTCATTTGAGCAAAAATATACAAAATATATACAATATAGGCAAGGCAAGTTTATTTGTACAGCACAATTCGTACACAAAGTAATTCAAAGTGTTTTACAGAATAAGAAATACATTAAAATCATAATAAAAACAAATCAAAACATAAATAATCATGAAGATTAAAATTAAAAAAGAGAGACATAATGAAAACCTTTCAGTTTTATGCACAGTGAAATAGAAATGTTTTGAGCCTGGATTTAAACAGCGTCACAGAAGAGTCTGTCTCACATGTTCACAATATACAAATATCCAAAAATAAAAACTGCTAGAAAAAAATACACAAATTCAGCACAAATCTGTGTCAAAATCCACTACATTTGAAGTTTTGTTAGGGAGGGCGTGTTCAGGCTGGTGCAGCAGCCAGGGGCCGTTTGCACAACTGAACTTCCTGTAGTTGACACACTGGGTGTTTCCCATCGCCAGGATCCTCGGCTCCTGAACCACGTCAGACACGTCGGACAGATCCAGATCCGTGTCATCAGAGCTTCGTGTCATCAGAGCTTCGTGTCATCAGAGCTTCGGGTCATCAGAGCTCCGCCGAATTCTGTTCTAACTCCCCCAGAGCCTCACACCCTCCTCCACTCCTCTGCTCTTCAGCTTGGCTCTTTTACCAAAGCTGCACAGGTGCAGTGTTGGGGAGTAACAGATTACATGTACCGGAGTTATGTAATCAGAGTACAAATTATGAGTAACTGTATTCAGTTACAGTTACTGTTTCAGTGAGTGGTAATTGGATTACAGTTACTTTGTTGAAATAAATGGATTACACAGCAGTATGTTCCTGTTTTCACATTTTGGGATAAACCAGGACTAAAACCAGGACTAAAACCAGGACTAAACCAGGTCTAAACCAGGACTAAATGAGACTTGGGCTCAACAGACAATTTGAAGAGAACAAACAAGAATTTTCAGGATGTGGTCGTTACATTCATGTAGTTTTAAAAAGTATGACAATATCAAGTAATCCAAAGTATTCAGATTACATTACTCACTTTAAGTAATTTAATGGATTATGTTACAAACTACATTTTGGGGTATGTAATCTGTAATCTGTAGGGGATTACATTTTAAAAGTAACATTCCCAACACTGCACAGGTGGATCCTTGGACGCCTCCGAGTGCTTCAAATTACCCACAATGTATCACAACTTAATTTTTTATAAACTTTATTTAAGCACTAAAATGCATTTTTGATAAAACTCATTCTACGACAAAAAATAAGTAAATATTTTGCTATTTTAGCCACATTACTGCAGAGAACAGTTTTATTACATCACATTATCAGATCGAATGAACTCAAATCAGGACAAATGCAGTAAAATCTCTTAAAGAACGAGATTGCAAATACAATTAACCAATCATCTGAAAATGTTTCAGCCTGTGTATTTATTTATTTAGGCTAAAGTTCAGCCTGACTGATGATTGACAGGCTTTATCAGTCACATCTTTAAAGCCTGTGACACATAAAAACTCCTCTGAACACTTGATATATGGATCCGGTCAAGTGGTAACGGAGGGAAACAGGGGCAGATTTTTTACATTCAAATGTCTCTTACTTTTTGAGTCATGAGATTTTTTATTAAGAAAGGTCATGGTAACGGAGGAAAAAGTAACGGAGGGAAAATTGTGCAAACAAGTAGAAGGTGCAGGATTTTACATAATTTGTCGCTTTTTTCTTCCGAATATTTTAATATTACTTCAAAATGAAAGGAAACTATTTCTATAAAACATGTCAGTCCTTCCAAGCAAATTTTTATCATTTTAAATACTTTTTTTTGTTGAAAAATCATGTACCAGGACAGAACCAGAGCTGAACCAGAACTGAACCAGGTCTAAACCAGGACTAAACCAGGATTGAACCACGTCTAAACCAGGTCTAAACCCGGACTAAACCAGGACTGAACCAGGACTAAACCAGAGCTGAACCAGAACTGAACCAGGTCTAAACCAGGAATAAACCAGGACTGAACCAGGACTAAACCAGAGCTGAACCAGAACTGAACCAGGTCTAAACCAGGAATAAACCAGGACTGAACCAGAGCTGAACCAGAGCTGAACCAGGTCTAAACCAGGACTGAACCAGGACTAAACCAAGAAACCAGGACTGAAACCAGGACTGAACCAGGACTAAACCAGGTCTAAACCAGGACTAAACCAGGTCTAAACCAGGACTGAACCAGGACTAAACCATAAACCAGGACTAACCATTACTGAACCAGGATTGAACCACGTCTAAACCAGGACTAAACCAGGTCTAAACCTGGACTGAACCAGGACTAAACCAGCAGGGTGTCTGCAAAGCACATTCGGGCGTCTGCTGCTCTTCACCTCGTGGAGCGTGGAGTTCTGTGTCGGTCCTTTCGCCCACGGTCACCTGACGCTCGATGTAGGCGCGTCTCCGGCGTTTGTATGAAGAAAAATGAAAAACCCACCACTTCAGTCCAGGTTAAAAAAGCATTGTGACGTGTGTTACTCACATTTGTACGACAAAATATTAAATTTTTTTCCCCCTGTAATGCCGAACATTGGTGCGTTACAGCAAAAAGCAATGGATTACAGTAATTCATTACTTTTATACTCTGGAAATGAGCCGTTTGTTTTCCTCACTAAAGAGCTGAGTGTCGACCTTTGAGATGGTACTGGCTTTTTACACCGATCGTGTCTGATATGTGTGGGCGGAAAAGTGTCACAGTATTATTTATATAACAAGTTAAAGAAGCAGAAGTGTGTAACCACGGTGACAAACTCTACCACACTAAACTCTACAAACTCATGTGATGTTACACCATTTTTTTTTTTTTTTTGAAAAATCATGTACCTTCATCAACAGTTCAAAGATGGAATAACACAAGATATGATGAAATACATCCATTTATTTACATGATTTTCAGGTCTTTGAAATTTGGGAAATAATTTTTGTTCCATGTTTCATACATGGTCTGTTTAAAACATATGGAACTTTAGAACCAAAAATGGTACAGAAAAAAGGTCAACAGTTTCATAAACTAGAGTACATATCTGTTCAATACATTTTTATATCAG